CTCTTCTTGCCTTTGTACATTTGGGCGAGGAGAGAGAATAAATCTTTTTAAGAGACAATCACAAACCTGTGAGGGTGGCTTTTTCTTCCTGCTCTCCCAAAGTTCTGGTTCCTTTGTCCTTCAAAAGCTGCTGCCAGTGATATTTTTTTGGGGTGGGGTGGTGGAAGGAGCTGGGGTAGCCAGGATGGCTTGAGCAGGCAAGTTCATCACTTGGTGGCTACCTGGATCCGTCCTCTCCGCTATGTTGCCGGCACACATGGCTCCATAGGTCAGAACCACTCCTGCAAAGCTCAGACCACCAGCTCGCTACACGGAAGAATAAAGCTTGTCTTTTTAAAACCCTAGCTGGAGGGGGAAAAAAGAAGAGAGACACAAGCTTTAAGATAGTTTATTCACGCAAAGTCGTATCCCAGCCCCACCAGTTGCCCCGCCTCAGGAAAAAACAAACAGAAAAACACATTTATGGAACAGCTCAGCTTTAGTTTTCCTCCGCCACGGGGGTGAGAGCAGGACGAAGCACGCGAGGACAAGGATGCTTCAGTTTGGCTACAGCGTCTCAAGGCTTGAGCTCATCTCTTTGGAAAAGCGAGGAGGAAGAACAGACCACGACCGCCATCCTCAGGCAGAGGAGGAGTGAGGTGTGAAGGTTTTTTTTTTTTTGGCTCTTTGGACCATCACAACAGGTGGCAGGTAAGGAAATGTCCCCCCCAAGAGCTCCAACCGCTCTCGAGCCCCTTCTTTCCAAAAAAAGCAGCCCCAGCTGTGTGAGGTTCATCTGAATGCCCCTTTTATTGAACGCTGTGATAGCGCAGTGGTAACATCGAACAGAGTTAAGACTGCTTAAAACAGAAACTGGAAGAGCAGGAAGTTTGGGGTTCGTTGTTTTTTTGTTTGTTTGGGTTTATTTTTTTTTAAAAAAAGGTTAGACCAGTTAAACCAGCATCGGTTGCCCCCAAAGCAGAGACGCACGGGGAGTTTTATTGTAGTGTTAAAAGTTAAACTTGAGCACGTCTCCACATGCCTTCTACTTAAAAGAGGCTCGAGCGAAAACCAAAAAAAAAAACCAAAACGGTAAAAGCCTGTCAGGCAAGCACACGCTGGGGAAAAGACCGAGGTGGGTTTAAAGTCAAGGGGTTGACCCCCGGGTCGCCACCCTCCCCCAGCTGCCCGAACCAGAGCTCCTACGGCAGTTCATCAACATCTTCCGTTTACTATTTGGTGATTACATGTGCAGATTATATAGTTCTCTAGGCGACACGTTGCAACGAGATAAAAAGTCAACTTGGAGGATAACACAAGCCAATCTAATAACAAGAAACGCGGTTTCAAGTCCAACAGAAGCTCGTTTTTCCTCCAGAAAGGAGACGTAACCCTCTCTCCCCTCGGTGGCATTTTCACAGGTCACGTCGCAGTCCCGCCCCCACCGGTGCGGCTATTCTTCATCCGAGGAAGAGTTCTGATCCAGGGGGTACACCATGAACATCACGTCGGGTCGCGACGGGACAGAGGGGTGGCCAGGCCTCACGATTTCAAAGCCCAAGAAGCTGAACGTCTTGAGGAGTGGAGCTACCAAAGAGAAGGAAATCTGTTACCACCAGGAATAATCTTTCTCCTTGTGGTACCTGTGAAGCTACGGATATACAAGCGCATCCAGAGCATCCGACACGTCTATCTTTAGATCCTAATGCAGCCCCCCCCACCAGCTTAAGCTGTACACATTGATAGGCAAGGGTCAGGATTACCTGTAAGTTTAAGAAGGGCAAAAGTGCAGGGAGTATCTTTAAAAAAATCAGATGAATGTCAGGGTGACAAGCTGTAAGCAGTCGGTTCCCATAAAATAACTCCCTCCCTGGTTTCTCCTTCGAAATCACAGAAGCCCAATACCCAACAGAGACCTTCGCTCCTTACCAAAGGAAAAATATTAACCCATTTTTCCAACGTGATCTAGGGAGCAAACGCAGAGCTCTCACCTCGGTCTTCTCTGCTTTTTCTGAAGCAAACGAAGACGTAGTTGACTTTCATTTTTTCTTCAGCAAACTCCAGCAGTGCTGATAACCTGAGGAGGAGGAAGACAAAAGAACGTCAGCTATTGGAAGTCCTGCCCTGAGGAAGCCTCTTGTTTTGGATGTTTCCAGGCAGAAAGATAGCTTTTTTTTTTTTTATGGATCCCTTCCAGCAGAACAAAGGCTGCTGCCAGGGTTTTGTGTACATTAATTATAGCCTCTGCTGGGCTGTTTCGCCTAGCTAAAAACCGGACAAAATTGTGGTTTAAGTCGTGATGACAAGGTGGTTTACGTTGTGATGACCTGCTCCCAAGAAACAAAAAGATATAAGTGCTGACCGATGAAATCACCCAACATGAAACAAGTGAGAATACTGACACTTTCTGAAGGTGCCCAATGAGTTTTGGTTTGATTTTTGGTGGGTTGTTTTTTTTCTTTTCATTTTTTTCTTAATTAGCTCAAAGTTAGGACTTCAGAGAGCTCTGCAGAGGAATCCAGTAAAGCCACATCCATGCTACAGCGCTCCCTGCCAGCAGGGATCTCTGGCAAAGCACTTGGCAGGAAGGAGCTGCTCTGGAAGCTGCCTTTACACAAACTTCCCAGAGCGGAGCTGTCTGGACAAAACACCACCAGATCCTGCCAAAAAAAAAAAAATAAAGAGCCTGGCAGAGCCCAGCACTTGCGCAGCAGCGCTCCAAGAGGAGATCCACCTACTGAGAAGGAGCGCATCAATATAATGGAGGTTTTTTTATTTTCCCCTCCAAAAGAAAGGGAAGTACTTGCCAAAACAAGCTTATGAAGGGGCCAGTGTTAAAAAATAAATCACCCATGTAAGCAAAATCCTGCTCCGGGATCCTGAACTTACCCTTCTTTGCTTCCATCAGCTAATAATCCGTCAGGGATTTCCACAAAGAGGCTCTGATTCGAGAGCACGGCGTCCCAGGAGGAGGTCTTCACCTCTGTGACCTTGTACTGGAAGTGGACAAGATGAGGCTTCCCTTCATGCACCGGGACATCTTGGTTAACAGTGATCTTCTCATCCTGCGAGGAGACAGGGAGGAGAGCTCATGAAATACGAGAGAGAAAATGTAAAAGATACAGATCCTCTCAGTTTGACTTGTGAGAAGCCAGCGAGTACAGTAACGCAGGCGACAAAGTAACGTCACAGGCAAATTTGGAACTGCCTGGCTTTGGGAACTGGAGCAGGGGAAGCTGCCGTTTGTTTAAAACCCACAAAGCTCAAAAACAAGTGTACGCTTCCTCTGATTAAATATCCTGTAGGACATAAAGTTTATTCGTTTCTCCTCGCTGTGCCTGCCTGGCGAGTTTTACTAGTTTTAAGTGAAGTGTGAAGAAACCTCCTGACGGCTGCTGGTCAGGCTGCTGAAAAAGCCACTGTGGCAGGTCTGAGACCCCCAAAATAATTTTAAATACATAAAATACCCCCCAAAACCAAACCCACCATTTTGGTGAGAATTATGTTCAGACAGCCTGGCTCAGGCTGCTGCTATTTGATTGCTGGGCATCCAAACTGAGATGGCAAGATGCCGGGGGAAGAGAAGCCATTCCTGTGAAGCAGCAGCCTGGAATTCTTTGGAAGTTGCTGAAAGCAAAAATCCTGTTTACACGACAGATGTTCCGGTTTCAGTTTGCCCCGTCGGGGCTGTCACATTCCCAAAAGGAAAAAACCCTGGGACGAAAGGCTGAGGGTTAAAATCTCTGCACACAAAAATAACAACAGCTCCAGGGAGCTCCAGCTGCTTGATTGTCAGGTACGATGCTTGTTCAGAAACATCGTCCCCGCAAATAACCAGATGTATGAGCTGGGGGAAAAAAAAAAAAAAAAGAGATTTAAGCTTTTGGGTCTAGATGCTTTTCCAGGTCACGCTGACGCTTGGCCTGCTGAAAAGCTCAGCCTCCTGTAACCACAGCACCACCAGATCAATTTTCTGACAGATTCCGCAAGGTGGGTTTTTTTGTCAGCAATAAACTTGGGAAGAATTGTGGCGAGATGCGGGCGGCGACCCTGGCCTACATACCACTGCCAAACTTCAAAGCTGTAGCAAAATCAAATGCTTCCAAGCCTCCAAACTGGGATTCTTCCCACCTCCACCGAGAAAGAAAAAGCAGCTGCAAGGTCTGCAATTCTCTCACAGGTTTCAAGAGGACCCTTTGGCAGCCATGACCCAAAAAGGGCCCATATCTTTTTCATGAGCAAATTATTCTCCGCCTGCCTTTGAGAAAAAGTCTCAGGTTTCTTAATCAATGGGTGACATCAAAGAGGGGAGGGTGCTAGAAAATTAACTGTAACCTCGCAGTTATTCATGTTTATTCCCGCTGGACTGTGAAAGGAACCGAATGTGGGTGTGCAGGTCATTATTTCGATGTGCCAATCGATTCTCACCTTATAGATCAGAGCCGAAAGAGAAGGATCCCTGCTACCCCCTCGCCCACCGGGGATCTTCGACAGTGGGTGAGGGGCATCAGGAGCACCACAGAGGCCCTGGAACAATGTGCCTGCAGCACTGCAGCTGGGGACAGTTACTCAAAGGTAAAATAGTACTGCAAGAAAAAAAAGAGAGAGAACCCCAGGTTATGTTAGCAGGGATCTCATTTCAGCTCCTCATAAACCCCAAACCGCTCGCATCTCCACTTTCCCACAGCTGAGGCTCCCGTTGGAAATGCCGGCCGTCCAAAAATTGTGTCAGGAACGGGAAGGAAAAGGAAGGAGGAGGGCTTCATGGGTGAGAACCCGGTGTGAGAGAGAGAAGAAGAGTGCTGAGCAACCTCATGTTAATAAGGGATGTCTGGATGCCCGCCAATAGCAGATGGCTGGAAACGCGTGACCAGATGAGCGTGCGTTCTCAATCGACAAATATCTACAAATAGATCAACAGGGCCCAGGAGGAGGAGGTTTAAGTTTCACGTTTTTGAAATGAGGAGGAGCAAAAGGGACGGCGCTTTGGATCTTTTTCAACATGCCCTGCAGTGGCCGAGTTGATGGTTTTGTGTGAGCACGAAATGTGATTTTTTGGGTTGGGGTGAAGGACCCTTGTATGACAAGTTCACCCCACAGATCTACTTTCAAGAGCTGGAAAATAATTTTCACTTGCGGTTTCCAGGTTTGTTTGGACACCCAGTCTTTCAGGATCGCTTTGAATACCGACTTTAATATCTGCTCCAGCTTTTAGAAGCTCACAAAACCAAATTATTTTACTTTTGGGGTGTTGCTTCCTTTATCAAAAGCTCTTCACCAAGGCATGGCACAGCAGCATTCCTCTAACAAAGCCTGTGAAAGCCACATGGAGAAACCAGTCTCACCCGGCGTTCCCATTACAAAAGTGATGCAAACTCCACCAAAAATAAAAGGTGAGCGGCAGGAGGGCTTCCAGCAAGCCCACGGAGTGAGGACTGAGGCTATTGTGGACAGGTTCTACAGAGGTAACAACAACTTACTGCCTGTCCTAAAACTTGTCACTTGAGCTGTTCCCAATGCTGTTTCTCCACTCTCATCCCTCTCCATCATGGATGAGCTTCCAGAGACCAAGCTGCACCACCTGAACAGCAGAACGTATAACGAGGCTACAAGCGAACTACTGAAATTTGGTGTTTCCGAACACCAAAAAACAAGCTCGCAAATGCGGTTGTGGCACGAGCAGAATCTGCGAAGGTCTTGGCTCGCCGCCTCCCACCGAAATAACCTTCCTACAGGAAACACAAATGCTCTTCCTCCTCGCATTTCCTCCTCCTCCAGGTTCGCAGGGCTCTTCAGCATCCCCACAACCAACAGCAGAGAGAAAAGTCTCTTTAAAAATACTGAGAAAAAGATACGGAGCTGTTGCAGGGAAGATGTCTTGTGGCAAACCCCTCTGTGGCAGCTTTTTTCTGTTTGTACAGTCCCTCCTCGCGCTATCAATGGAGCAGTGTGTATCCAGTAGTAGTGGCGAGGCATGACAAAGCACTTTGCCGTGCAGTTCCCCACCCCCAGAAAGCTGTTGGCAGCTTTGTTATTCCCTTTTCCCTCCTCCCTCGCACTCTCCCCCCTTCCCCGGTCAACAATATCCTATTGATAGCTCTCCCCGACTTGCAGACTTGCGGCCAAGGCATAGAGAAGCTGGATAATGAAGTGTAGTTGTGGGAAAAAAAAATAAAAAGAGAGGGGCTGTAGTTTTCATGCAAAGCAGTTCGAGTTGCTTCCCCGTTTTGCTTCCTCTGGCACACGCAGAAGTCAAAACACAAAACCCCTTCGGGCCATGAGCCCTGGCGCTTCGCCGAGCCCGGACCTGTGCCCAAAACCTACCCCAAAACCAGTTTAGGGTCCCAAGAGCTTCACTGGCCTGGGGAGGGGCGGAGATTAAAAGGGGTTTTGCTTCCTCTCAGTGTGTGTTCAGGTCCCTGGGAAGCCATTCACGCAAGCGCCCAAGCCCTTCACAGCTTAAAAATTAGGATCGTGCTCCCTTCCATCCTCTTTTCGCTTTCGAGAAGCTGCTCTCCAGTTGCTTGGGTTTGATTTAATACGTGTTCCGATCGCCAAGAGCCTTTCCCAAGCAAAAAAAAGCTTCTTTGACCTGCCCTGGCTTGGAAGCAAAGCATCCGTTTTGAGCCAGCGGGTATAATTTTAACTCGCTAAGCTCCCAGCAAGCTCGACCCCGTGCCCCGTCCCCGGGGGAAAAAGCAAAGGACGACTCGGCAACTTCAGAACCCCATCACGGCCACTCCTCACCAACCCTCGCACGGAACACCTGGCTTTCGGTCCACGACAACCGCCGGGTCTATAAAATCACACGTTTTCTCGGATTTCGGGGAGCTTAATGCTCAGGATCCACACTGCTTGTTCAGCATTACGGAATCGGCAGTTTTTCTGTCGGTTTTCTTTCAGGCTCCTTTTCCAACCAAAGATGCAGTTGTACCTAGGCCTTAACAGCATCACGTCGCGAGTCAGATATTAACGGAGCAACTTGTAAATAACCATCCGACAAGCGTGGCAGAGCTCGAGGATCTGCCGAGAAACGAGGCTGTTTTCTCCGCATCCTCTGCGGCCAAGGAAACGACACTTTCGGAGCTCTAAAACAAGGAGCAGCGGGGGAAAAAAGCCCCGAAAAAAGGCCAAAATGATAATTAAAAAATCCAAAATAAACCACCTTCCTTAAGAGAGGTGCGGGCAGGGCGGGCACCAACCCCCTCGCCCGTCAAGGTTTACGAGCAAAAGGGTGCTCGGACACTCGCCGACCCCCCCGCCCGCGGTGATTTTAACGGGGT